CTCCTCTTCTCCTCCTCCTCCTCCTCCTTCTCTTCCCTCTCCTCCTCCTGCTCTTCTTCATCCTCTTCACTGTTTCTGTTGGAAGGACGGTATAATTGTATGTATGCATTTTTGTTTCTGTGTGGGAGAATAGTTGTGTGTTTGAGAGAGAATAGCTGGCGTATGCAGATATGAGACTGATTTTATAAATAGATTAGCCAAGACCGTGGGTTTAACTTCAAGCTAATCTGCAAAGTAATCCATAACGTGTGCAGACCTTCGCACTTCCTGCCTACTCCTTCATTTTCAGCAGCTTCTCTTCTTCTTAGCAAAAGTAAGAGGACTCTCTTCATTCATAAGTAATTTCAGGAGAAAAAAACTTCCGCCTTATTGTCAGATAAATTGGGGAGATGCAGAGAGGGCTCAATTCATTTTGCAATCGATATTACAGACAATTTTAATTAGAAGTCACTAATTCAGTTAATATAAATTTAGGGTTCTGTCCTCTCCTTTTTTGGAGAGTGGCTTCCGCCTGGAATGTACCCACAGACACACTTCTGTGCATTCCCCTGTGCAAGTGTGTTACCCACATGCAGTTATTGAACTTTGGGACTGGATGTTTGTTTGCTTATCTATATTCTTTGTCTCCTGCCAATCATAACAACTTGGCAGCATGCGGTAAAATTATTATGAAATAGATCTAAAAATAAAATATCCTCTCAACTCACATGAAAACAACTAAATATAAGAAGCCATTAAAAAAATTGCCAAATATTGTTTGCGGAAAGCTGAAACCCCATTGGAAAAGTGCAGTTTTTAAGGCCTTTCGAAACGTCAGGCATGCTGAGAAGCTGTTCTGCCTCAGAATGAACGTCGAGGGGTGTTGCTCACTTGGAGGCTTTGGCTAGGCTACAGAGATCTTTGGACTAATTTGGCAAGCGGAGATGAGTCATGAGTAATCCAGGCTTATGACTATCCCAGCTATGGGCCTTCCTAGATTTCTTGACTCCACCCTACATCTAGCTCTGGAGAGAAAGCTGATTGTGCACCCAAATTCCTGAACTCCAGGGCACAGTTAGGTAATTTTGGACTCTGAACAGTGAGATCACACTGGTAGAGTGAGTGGGAAGGTAGGTGGTATAGTACAATGTTTCTCAACCTTGGCGACTTTAAGCTATGTGGGCTTCAACTCCCAGAATCCCCCAGCCAGTGTGCTTAAAGGTGTGTGGACTTCAACCCCCAGAATCTCCCAGCCAGCATGCTTTAAGATGTGTGGGCTTCAACTCCCAGAATTCCTCAGCCAGTGTGCTTAAAGATGTGTGGACGTCAACTCCCAGAATCCTGCTGGCTGGAGAATTCTGGGGGTTGAAGTCCACACATCTTAAAATTGCTAAGGCTGAGAAACACTGGTATAGCTTATTACAATTGTATATTGAAATATTGTAGCTAATGATACTACTATTGGAATCATCTGTGTAGAGAGAGGAGGATTCTGGCTTGATTTTTATCAGTTTTCTCTCCTAATCAACGTTGGGCCCAGGGAATTGCTCTAGCTTTGTAGGACTGCCAACTTGGGCCCACCCTCAAGCAGGAGCTGCTGAGAAGTCCCCAGTGGAAAAGCTATAAATAAGTGTCAACTTACAGAAGTGAAGTGACTTCTGAAATCTTGGCATGGAAACAGAGAACGGGAGGATGGTGGAGAAGGGCTGGGGGAACCTTTCCAAAACCTGCTGAAAGTTGTTGCCTCTTTCATCACCACTCAACGCCCCCCCGCCATACCTCATTCCTGCATTCTGTTTCTGCCTCTTTTCCTAGTGCCTAAAAGCCGAAGATATGGCCAATGCTGTAATATATGTTCTCAGCGCCCCACCTCATGTACAGGTAGGACCATGGAGTGGCTATATTTTTCTATAATTTGGTGGAATGGGGAGGGGAGGAAGATCATTTCCGTTGTGTGTCCATGTGGGAGGAAATAGCATCACACACATCACAGCGTCATTGCACAAATGAGGCAAGAACATCCTGACTTCATTGAGCCACTAACTCAAGGATGCCATGACATCATTAGTGCAATGACGTCATGACATGCATGATGTTGCTTGGCTTATACTGGGCTCCTATAACTATTCGCCCACTGCAGTTCTCCTGTGTGTCAATCCACGTTTCTAAGCCACCACTTTAAATTTGCACACAGTTGCTTTTTTAGACTGACTGACTTGCTGGAGAAAGGAGTAAGAAGAATTTAGTCTTTCTGCTGGTGGTAGCAGAGTTTTCTTCTCAGCTGACCCTTAAGAACTAAGCTAAGTTGGATTCCAGTGGGGTAGAACTTCTCCAGGACCAAGAACAGCTCTCTGCACTAAGGAGAAATTGGAGAGGTGGCAAAGGGTTGATGGAGACATCTATTGACAATGCAAGATGTTGGAAAAGTATCAAAGCAGCTTTGGGGCTTTTTAAGTTTTGGGGTCCTAGGTATGTTGCCTTCCAGAAACCTTGTACACTGGCTAAAACATACTTTTATCTCAGTAGGATTTTCCCCTGCAATCTGCTACCACCATTACTGTTGTTCCAGGGCTGTAAGACCTTAGTCCACCATCTGAAGTCTAGTGTTTCCAAGCCATACCTGCAAAAATTGGGAATCTACCCTATGATAGACCAATTCTCGCCATTGTAACTTTTTTTCAGAGAATTATTGAGAAAACAACTTCCTTGAAAAGTTGTTTGCCATCTTTGGTAGGGTTAGATGCACCTTCTGTAGCCTGGACACCCTCCAGACGTATGGACTTCAACTCCCAGAACTCTCCAATCAGCCCAGCCATTGCTAAGAATTCTGGGAGTTGAAGTCCACGCTTCTGGAGGGTGTCCAGGTTGACAAAGACCAAGTAGATCTTTTCATCTCATAGGGCATGATGAGAAATGGCAACATGTATGTATGTGATGCCATCGTGCAAATATAACTTATGTACATGTGTCATGTTGCAGTGCAAGTATGTAATATTAGCTTGATGTCATCACATATGTGCTGTCATTTTGGTTCATCATGCTTTGTGATGGACACCGTTCTTCCATATATTCCAGAATAGCTTTCTTCTCTCCCCTTGCTATCCCTTAAGTGTTCAGGCAAGTGTAGTGGGTGCTGGGGTCCCATGTTAAATAACCTTAAAAGGAGGCCCCAGTGGAGACCACAACTTCTGTGGGATCCTCAACATTTTTTATTTGCTCCTCATCAATTTCACCAGCAGCAGTGAAAGGGTGCCACTGTGTCTTCCAGATTGGTGACATTCAGATGCGACCCACCGAACAAGTGTCGTAGCCGTGGAAGAAGAGGATTGGAGCCGTGCAACCAGTGAGGGGACGCTCTTCCTCCAAACAGGGTTTTCTTCAGTTGATTGGTGACTTTCTAAGGGCCTCGTGTGAAGGGTTGACACCCAGCCCTTTCCCCATCACTTTCCTCTGTTGAGCTGACCTCAGTGGAAACTGACATGAAAATCCAGTCTTCACAGTAAGCCCCCCACCCGCCCCATGGTCCTCTCAACTGCAGTTAATTTCAAGCAAACAGCTCCCAGCTTTTCCACACAGTGTCGACTTCACTGGATTCCGATTTTTGGGGAAAGGGACTGACGCCGGTTCCAGACAGTGAACATTACACGAGTGATTCCTTCAGCTTTCCTCCATGACTTGCAACCACCCTCAGCCAACGCACCATGTTCTGGATGTTCATCCGAAGCCAAAATGCTACTCCATCTCTTTCTTCCTAGATTGTCACCCCCCAAGCAGTTAAAACAGAAGTTTCTGTCTTCTGGGCACTGAGGATTTGCCTTAATATCCATTAAAGCAG